TGAAGCATGTTATATCAGACATATTATTTATGTGCTACCATATGCGTTTTGTAAATGCAAATAAATAAATAAATTATAAACTTAACCAATATGGTCTTAGACATAATGCTTCTGCAAATATGCACTTTTATATTTTCCTGTTACTTGAAGGGTGCTGCTTTTCTACAACAGTACACGAGCGCTGCTTTAACCCACTAACCCAGTGACTGGATCAACACCACTCACCTCTTTTAGCCTGCCCAAACCTTCACCGTGTGTCAGTACCACTTTAAATCCTTTCCCTCCCTGTTTATGTTAGCATGTCAGAAAGCCACACTAGACATTTCCACACACTAATAAACTGGAGTTTTATTAGTGGGAGTCAGTGAATGATGTGAGCCATCGTGAGGCTGTCTCCATGGTTACATACCACAGAGATGCCTGTCAGGCAGCTGGTGGGCCATGGCTGTTTGGTGGCCACTGTCAACTGATGGGAAAATGAAAAGAGTGGCTGGAGACAGACCACAGATTAACAAAGCAAGCTAATACCTTCTCACACATGGGAAGATACTCGCTCTGATGACATTCATTGTGGTTATTTGCTAAATGAAAAATATGGATAATAAGACGTCTCAGCAACACTAGAAGTCACAAAGGTTTCATCAATCATTCAATCAGTCAAACTTTATTTGTAGAGCACCTTTCATACAAGTTCAAGTGCAGTTCGAAGGGCTTCACAGATGGTTGACAAGATGAAAAATAAATAAAAACTAGATAAGATACATTTAAAAACACACTACAAAGATAAAAATGACAATTAAATACAATAAAATAGACGTACCTGGTATAACAGTAAATATTGTTTAATAAAAACTACGTTAGAAACTAGATCTAAGAAAGACAAACAAATAAAACCAATAAGAAGGGTGGAAATATAATATATAAAACAATATTAATAGCAATAAAGTAAAAATTTAAACAATGATGTACTGCTAAATTCTGCAAGGTGGTTATGATGGACTGGTTACCTTGCATACCTGCTCAAAATCAGTTGCTGCTGGGGTTGTAAAAAGGAGTGATGAGGAAAAATGCAGCACAGACTGAAGTTCAAGGTAATTACCACAAAAATATTATAGCTCATGAAAGCTTTTATTTTTGCCAAATCATGTTGTGTCCTCACAGCTTGGTAGCAAATGTTCCTGAGATCCAGTGCTGGTCTGGGAAAAGACCACTCTGCCTACATACTTTAATAAAAGTCTCACACTGTTTCTTGCAAGTAAGCCATCTAATCACACACACATTTTGATCATGTATGAATCGTGCATTTGCAAATTTACAACACTGCAGATGTGCTCCACAGTATGAGCATCAAAAGAGATTAAACAGATTTCCTTGATAGATTTTAAGATAAATTGATAGGAAAGGCTGGCCCAGAGCCAGATAGCCCATTAGAAAGAGCTCAGGAGAGTAAGTTATCCCTGCTCCTCTCTCAGTAAACCTCCACTCTGATCTCACCTCTGTGCCAAGTCCTCCTCCTACACTTACCTCCTATTACAGACACAATGACCTGTCAGATCCTGTGATGCAAGGACGCGGTGACATGCAAATAAACATTTTGAGTTTGATTTATTTCCGTCATTCTGAGTTATGTCCTACAATGTGCATACTATGTCACAGCGAGTATCTCTTCAAAACACATTTTTAGCTCAGACAGTACAATCTTGTCTTATGCTCGGCACATCGTCCTAAAAACAGATGTCACTGCTTTTAGATCAGTGGTATATTCAGGCTTCTTTGGAATTGGTTTCTTATGTGTGTCGAAAGTTTAGCTTAAATGTGAGCTGTTTACTGGCATTCTTGGCTTGTAATCAGGGACGTTTTACTGGACAAAGTGATGTATGTTGAGTTCCTTCCTCTTCAGCCGCCTGCTCCTCTCCACAAAGCTGTGCTGAGGGGCAGTGGTGCTGACTTATGGCCACAGCAGGAGTCTGCTCCGCCTTTTATGTCCCTTAGGACAGCATCAATATATAAAACTTCTGCTGGCTTTTTTGATTTACAACATGTCACTTGAAGTTATTTGAGTGAGGTAGACTTTGGTTAGTAGCAAACATGGCCAGTCTGAATTTACATGTCTGTTAGGAGAGTGGGTTTTTTTTGACTGGTCAGCATGCTTGTCATTTTACTTTGGCTCCATTCCTTTACAGTTCATAGGAGTGAGTGGAGAAATTTGATTTACAGTGCAAGCATCAGCCTTATTTCCAAACCAAAGGGATCATTTAACACTGTAAGCCAGAGTGTCAGCTCTAAAATATGACCCATAAGAATTTTTTTTGCTGAAAGCTGATATAAACGCTGATTTACAGCCTTGGCCTTCCTAACGATGGTCCTTAATGAGCAGCTCAAGCATCCACTTGTTTATGGAGCAGGCTGATTGACAGGCCAACCAATGGAAAAATAAAGTAGTGAATGAGGAATTGGATCTGTCCCCTCTTTGCCATATCAGCAGGGCCCTAATGTAGTGAGGTGAACTTTGAAGTGCCCTAATGGTCTTCATGGTCCCTTAACCATGCAGGCTTCTATTAAGGGTGTCAGTGGAGCCTGGCTGGAGCAGCGTGACCCATTAGATTTAATGAGTGCTGTTCAGGGCACAGTGGGCTGCTCTTCTTCTTCTCTGTGAGTGTTTATTTATGTCATCTGCCTGCGTTTTAGACAGAATGGGAGTGCAGAGGCAGGGGGAATGTCTCTTTAACTAGTGGCCCATTTTGTCTCTGATCATATCAATTCCACGTCAGTAAGATGGTCTCATTGAGGTCATGATTGCTGCCTAAAAGTTTTAATTTGCTCAGATATATCTATATACTGTATTGAAGACCAAAACCAACTCTAAAATTGTCTCTGTAGCTAAAGCCTGATATGGCTTTATCCTCTGTGCCATAGACCCCCATCATGGGGCTTCGTTACGATGAACATGGGCAGTGTAGTTTATTTTAAGTCAATCCCACATGCTGCTGCTGTAAATACTCGCACCCCCAAATCCTCCTCTGAAAAACGTTCCCAATAAATGCGCAATTTAGTCCAGCTAAGAGCAACATTTGCTAAATACTACAGTGTCCAGCTGTTTTAGGAACATGTTATACCTTTTTCAGAAATTATATATTTGTTTTTAAAGATTTACGTCTTCAGTAGGAACTAGTGGGCTTGTGGTTGAGAGCCACAGACATGCCAGGGAAGTTGTAAAGTACAGAGAGACGGACTAAGTCATTGTCAGTTATGGTCTTAACATGGGATTTGTTGACAATAAAACATTTTTTGAGTATGTATTGTGCATTATAACAGCACTGTAAAACTTTTTATGTTGTTTTGTTATGTTAGTTAAGGTTATTGTTATTACCATTGATATTTATGTCTCAAAGGACATAACAGGGGAAAAGGTTATTGCATGATTAGTATTTCATTTGATATGTACAAGCCACTAGGTCTTCTTCTACCTGCATTTCTATTGATGATCTCCAAGTCCTCGACTAGAGCTGGAGGCTTTAGCGGGTGACAGCAGGCTTCTCTTCAGTTTTCCCATTCTCGTGTGATCAGAGTGCTCCAGTTAAACTCTTGCACAACTGTGGAAAAGACAGCAATTGTTGCTGGGAGCGAGCAGAAATGGGAAAGCTCCAACATTCTTTCTAGGGCAAAGACCACAGCAGTGGCAAGATGTGAATTGGCACAGGTTATCTTATCTTTTTTTTTTTGTTCCTGGCCATGCCTTCCCTTTGTCTAACGTGAGAGTTGTCCTAAGTGGTTGTGCATTCTGTGGATGATATTCAGCACAACGTTTGAAATAAAGAGATTGATTACAGACATAGTTTTTGTTGTGTAGGAAAGAAGTTTTGAAGTGATTATGAATGTTTTTTTTCTGAAAACTGTTTTGTTGCATGATTGAGCTCGTATTGCAAAAACAAAGAACATCTGTGTGAAATGATGTTGCATACTGTATTGCATGACGGGTTTCTATCGCTCTGGCCGTAGCTAGACTGTTAGCCAAAGACCACCTGGAGGTATTTAAGGCCCATTCAAACTATTAGGCTCAACTTTGGGCCTAATGGCTTGGGCAGAGCATCCCATCTGGAAGCTGCTGATGCGAGAAAAAGAACGGGATCACATATCATCCACCTTCAACCACACACACTCACACGCGCACATGGACGCGTGCGCACACACATATTCATCTCGAGTCAGTCATACATCAGTTGTTTCTATAGTTTCCCTATGCTTGTTGAATGTATTAAGCACTGCACGTGAGTATCTTCACTGGTCTGATGTTGCTAGTCAGTGGTTCAAAATAACAATATAATATTCATGACAATAAAGAAAGCAAAGTTACAGATTGGGGAAAACATCCTCCGTTATTATTTATTAAAGGAGTACTAGAGGGTTCCAAATCCACCTCTAAAACTCACTAATTAAAACATTATATATTGTTTGTTTAATCTGCACACTCTAAGGTTTTATCGCTCAAAAACTCAGTGTGTCCTGATATACTCCCTATATGCTATATAGGGGACTATATTTACCCCCCACCATATTATTTTAGTGTCCAAAGTCTGAGTGAAAAATAAATGCTCTATATAGCACCCTAAAAAAAGTTGTGTCTGTGGCACTACTTAATGTTGCCGTCACAATCCCAGAATGCAATGTGCCGCCTTTTATAGATGTGAAAATTACAGTTGTGTGGCGCTACACTGGTGGCCAGGCAACAAAAGCAAACCCAACAACTGTCATTAGATTTTGATTCAAATGTTGCTAAACCCTGATCGGTGAGTAGAAGTATGTGACTTCCACCTGAGGCCTGACCACTTAAAGCAAGTGAGAAGGCCATAGACAAAAACTCAAATACAGAAATATCTCAGGTATGATAACTAAAACTTGTCCAACTTTGGCAGGCAGTAGTGTGATCCTGTAGGTTCTCATGAGAAAGTATCTTTTCAGGGCCTGTAAAAAAAAAACTGAACTCATTTAACCGTTGAAAATTCATTTATTTGATAATCACTTCAAAACCATCATACACAAAAACAGCAAGTTACTTCTGTACAAACAAATGTCCAGCACCTTGAACAGATCTCAGTGACGCTGTTCATGGTGCTAAATATGGACGGGCTTAGGAGACAGTTCTCGACTGTTGGGACACAAAACCACACGCCTCTGGCTGTAGCAAAGAGACCACTGTCCCAGTGGAAGTCAAAAATTAAAGAAACAAACTTCTCCAACACTGTAAGTGCAATAACTTATTGCAATGGTACATTATATAAAGTCACAATCAGAAGTAGAAATACTTGATTAATATACAAAAAGCTGCTTAATGTCATAAGAAAATTAGAAAGCGATTTCAACCTTTGTAAAAATCCAGAACACCTCTTCAGAATAACACACAGAACATAATTGTACATTTCTTGGCAATATTACTGTAATACTTCATTGGTTTATCTCTGGAGGCCCATTATTTATTTGACAAATAAGCAAAACAAATGTACAAGCAAAAGAACAATAACATTTATATTGTTCACATTCACACAATACAACATTAATAACTATGGATTTCAATTGCTTTATTTCAGTAGTATCAACATGGACGGAGCTGCGGAAGAGTAGAGAGAGGACCAGCGAGAAGACAAACACACAGTCAACTCGACAATGTAGGAATTCAGTCACACATGTACTCATGCTTAAATTTATTCTGACCACATCCTGTTTTTATATTGAAATTATGACAGTTATTCTTTTGATTTTTAGTCCTCACATCCAACAGAGTTTATTTATTTAGAGATTAATGTTTATTTTATTGAAAAGAGTCATGGCCAGTTGTCTTTTTATTTGATTTAGAATATATTAACAGCATGAGCACTCATGCCAAAGTCATCATTATGTTGTCACCTAATGTGCTTGCTGTTAACAAGACATGGCTTGATTTTGAAAGCAACGGAATGAATTAGGATGATATTAGGGGTTTTTGTTTTCTTCCTATGGGAAAAAAAGGAAATCTTATCAACTATATTCATAATAATTTAATCATTTTATGTAATTTTTCAAGCACAAAAGCCATATATTCTCTGGTCCCAGTCTTTATCTTATATGATAGTAAACTGAATATTTGGGAATTTTGGGGGTTTGGGCAACAAAGACATTCTATTGGGTTTTAGGAGATTGAGATCCTGAGAAAATTAGAATTTTCAGTCTTTTTTATAATGGGCACTCATATGTTACAATGATCAACCAACTATGAGGAACAGAAACCGATTCTCTGCCATCATCCTCACAGGGGAAAGAAAACGGATATGTAGCCCTGCGGGCGTCATAGAGAGATCAGCCAAAAGACTAATGAAGCCTGTCTCTGGTCTCAGCCTGCAGTCCAGCTCTGGTGACAAGCTTATTCCAGCGGGGTAACACAGAGACAGAGACACCCCTGCAATCACTGGACATACTCACTACATTCCTGCAGTCCAGCTCTAATGTCATCACATTACCTAAACATTACAGAATGCTCTTCATGACGATGGGGGCCACTGATTTGGCCTGCAGTCTCTGGCATGTGACGGATTCTTTGCGCAAGCTACAAATCCAAGAGTCATCTCTGCTGAGCCCACGTCTAACGATGAATTGATTATTACAGCGTGTGGAACTGTGTGTGCAGTATGTCCTCACCCTGTAGGCTGTGATGTACTGTGGTGTTCGCAGGGCAGAACGGCTCACTTTGATGCTAATTAAGTGTGTCTATTCCGGTTTGTTTGCTGATTGAAGCTGACGTGGCTAGTTGGTGTTGAAGGCTGCTGCTGTGCGTTGCTGCGCCTTGTCTGCCAGTGGAGACAGTGTTTCCTGTAACCTGAGGACTGAGCCTAGCAGGAGAACCTGTGGAGGCAGCCCTGGGGGAGGAAATGACACGTTGGTTTGAAATTGCTGCCAATCTAATGGCTGCCCTCCTCCCAGACTAAATTGGCACAGGCCATGCCTGCTCTCGCTCAATTAGACTCTGTTCACTTATTGCATTCAACCTCTGTCCTTCTTTGCAGGAACATAAACTACCCACCGTAGGCCAAGACAAAATTACTGTTTTCTTTCATAGCCAATTATTGTTTGCACTCACTCTCAGCACTTGGTCTGCACCTGAGCTTGCTCTCACTGTGTCCTTGTTTTTTAAATGGATTTTAAGACACAAATACTGAATGATCAGGAATGTACTCATTTGTACAGTATGAGTGACAAGTTTAAAGTAACATAGACCAAATGTGTGGGGCAGGATGGCTGGTAAAAAAAATAAGCTAATGAAAGTAACTAATGTCAATCAAGCTTAATTCTATAAATTAAAATACTGTATGATGTGGCTGGTTTTGGCACTGAATTCCTGTATTTTAAGGTAGTACTTTGTAAACCATATTTATTATTATTGCTTATTTTACTGAAACCAATCACTATCACTAGATCACTATCATGAATGATACCCCGCTTATTGGGGACTAAACCCCATATTTCAATGAGACCTGAGAGATCAAGCAATCAAGAATTAACACGTCTTCTAAGTAACTTCCTCCTCTAAGTCACACCTCTGTATTTCTCTCACTGTCAGCATCTGCTTATTGTCACAAGTCACAGCTGTTATCTTGGTTGCGTTGGTCGCTGAAATGGCCTCTGCTAACGCCTCAGTCTCTCAGTCCTACATGATGCCCTACATGGGCTATATGATTTCCCACAGTTTGGGGCATCATGTAGCCCAAGAGATGGCTGCACTGTGTTCCTTGGCCTTCATACGCAGTGCAGCTATGCTGGAGGACTTGCGGTCTGGATCAACATTGAGATCATAGCCATTGATTCCACCACCCATGCCGGGACCTCCAAAAAGGCTGCCCATATGAGTCTGTCCCATGTGGCTGCTCCCTGGACTGGGCACGCCCAGGAAGTCAGTGACGCCTCCTGGACCGTGAGGGTGAGGCGGCATGCAGGAGGGGACGGAGTCACAAGGCACAACGCAACCCGGCACTGGAGATGCTCCACTGCTGCTCCCGATCCACGTAGGGTTCTGGATCTGGAGGAAAGAAGAAGAGATTAGGCTGTAATAGATATTTTTATAATAACAGTGTATAAAATGACAATTTGAAAACAGTGTGGACAATCGAGTTTACACCCAAATCTGCTGCTCATTTTAACTTAACAGAGCTTTATAGTGATTTTCAGCTCAGTGTTTAGCTGCCCACGCAACTTGGTTCACTCTTATGGCTCTCATAGCAAAAAACATGGCAGCTGTTTTTTGTGAAAAAGCTCTAACCACTGTACACTACTTACTCAGCACAAATGGCACACAGTGAGCGACTACGGTGAACATAGTGGAGGATTTAGCAGCTAAAGAGCCAGATACTACCCCCAGGAGTAAGAGAGTGAATATTGAACTTACATTCGCATGTGGCCAACTGTGACTCATGATAATGTTGCTCTGTAACTGCAGGATGTGTAAATAAGCAAATGTTTGCTAACAAATTTGCTTATTTAACTTAAAAAGAGATTATATGTCAGTGTTGTGTTCACAGCTTGTTTCCACTGCCCACAAGTGGCCAAAGAAATCAGTTGTTGCAGGTTTAATAACAAACCATAGTGCTTAGTGATTACTTGACTCATTTCTTCATAACCCGCCATGAGTCTGACATCGTAGATCATGAGTGCCTGTGCAAATTAATATTCAGTGAGAATACTACCACTTATTTTCTTTACCTGTGCATAGTTCTCAGGCCGGGTCAGGAGAGGCAGCTCGTAAGCAGTAGAGAAGTGTGTCCGGACCTGTTGCATCTGGCCAAAGCGCTCCCTCTTCCTCCACTTGGCTCTGCGATTCTGGAACCACACCTATAAGGAAAACAATACATCAGGAAAACCTGTCCAAATTCAGACCAGCCACTACCAAACAAAACTAATGGTTAGTATAATTTCAAACACAGCTCTAAGCAAACCCAAGTAGTTTTATTTTGTAGAAAACAAGGTCATCCTGTCCTTTCAGAAAGACAAAGTAAAAAAAAAAACGACCCACATAAAATGAAGATAGTGAAGCAAATAAATTCTGCAGAACATGAAAGTCCGGGCCCAGGTTTTAAGACTTGACATGTCTTTAAAGTGCCGTCCACACGGAGCTATTGATGTGAAAATGGTGAGTCTCCCCTGGTGCTGCACCTTTCAGCTCCTCCCTTTGATACACAGGCGTCTGCCTCCCTTCAGGCTGCCAGCGTCGACAGATCCACATCTGGGCCTGTAGCCATTCATAAATCACTCTGAGAAAGGTGCGCTCTCCCCCACATGTCAGCACAGTGGGATACAGTGGGGAATCCCTCTGTATAATCCATGAAACAAAAGTTCAACTTTTGACCAAGAATATGCTTTTCTTTGTCCTTTTATTAAGTGTTGTATGCAGTATATGAAGTAGGTTTCTGGGTAATTTCTCCTTGTGAGATTGATAGATATGCTACTTTGCAGAAAGGTTGTACTTTCAGTACCTGCTGACAGAGCAAGTGCAGGCTTCTTAGCCCACTTCTCCCTAGCTGTGGAAGCCACTGGAGGAAAGCAGGACTGAGTGTGAAAGACTATGAAAGAAAAAGCGTTGTGAGCTAAAAAAGTAAAATTTGCTGCCTAAACTGAAATATCTGTGCTGAAATTTTGGTATTAACTGTCAATATAATATAATACTGTGTAATTAATTAATCTACTGTGTATATACTAAACTGTCCTGGAAGGTCTGTTGTTCTTCCTAGGATTTCTTCCTCTTTTTTTTCCCATGTTAAAAGTTAAAGTATTTCCTCGTCCAAATAGAGGGACCATCATGGATGATGTCATATGTTGTACAGATTGTAAATCCTTTCAAGGCAAATTCGTTGTCTTGTAAATTTGGGTTATAAAAACATTAGTAGATAATTAATAGATATAAATGAGCAACAGTGAGATTGTTGGCCCTATAAAACAGCTACAGGATATTGATTGTAGACATACAGTATAACCACCTTGTAGCTAATATGCATTTCTTGGAACTAGCCATTGCTTTTGTTCTAAATCTGCTTTAAGTGTTACAGTGCTTTAGGACCGGTTCAATTTGAACTATTTTGACACCTAAGTGGTCTTAATTAATCAATCCAGAGAAATTAGAGAATAATCTGCGGAAAATCTTAAATTATCAAGCAAAAATTTCAAACATCTGATCTCGGCCTGAATAATCAATAAGGGAGATAATGGTTTCCTGCAGTCCTGTGCAAACATCATTTGATGTGGGGTAAAGTCAGGCTAAAACCAATATCTGCCTGTTAATGTAATCAAAATGAAAAGAATTGAATGATCTATATTAATTGATTTAATATACCCATATAACGCAATTTAGGACTTTACTGATAATATTCTTATGATATGAAATATTGTGATATTATAACCTTTTTAATCATTCTTACATTCATTTCATAAAATGTAAGCCTGTGGTGGCCACCTCATTTATTTCTCCACACTTCCTCCTTTCCTAACCATGCATCTCTGTTCACTGTTCTTTAATATAATCAACATGTAACATTTGCTTGTTTTTTGTTTCTAAAAATTTTTCTCACATTTCCCTGCAAGAGAATAGAAGAGCAAAGGAGGGTACTGGGAGTCTCCACATGTTTATCTGTGTATTTGTTGGTTGTCTGAATCTTATCCTCCCAAGAGGGAAAGGGAAACTTCTTCAAAGAGAAAAGAGAGAGCGTTCCGCTTCGACACAGGGGTTTGAACTTGGATTGTGGGTTGATTCCCAGCCCAATCAGCTTGTGGTTTCCACAGTCCCTGACATGCAATTTCCCCTCAGAATCCCCCCTCATGTCTCTCTCACCATTTCTCTCAGTCAACCTAAACACTAGATTTTAGTGACAATCATGAGCAGTGTCACACAAAGATGTGAATTCTGCAAGAGCAGAGTGGATGGTGAATCCCATACTGAGTTTTCTTACAGGGCAGAAGAGCATTTTTTTTTAAATCAAATTAGATAATACCAGCTATGAGAACCAACATAACTTGAAATTTTTCTGACTGGATAAAACAACTAGCTGGTACTTTTTCAAAGAGAAGACCATATATGGCCTCCTGTGGCACATAGTTGTTGCCTGTGTTTTTGCGAGAAGCTGACGTAAAGAAATGTCGTCTGACTCCGACATACCTCAGGTCAGCTGGTGAGATTAGAGGACAGCTCACCCTTGCAAAATGGTAAACTGATATCTGAAGTTGTGGTTGAACCCCAATGTCAAGGTGAGGGGTTGTTGCCCTTTGAATTATATCATATGTTTGGAGGGGGGCTTGGAGTCTATGTCATTCTCCCCCTGAGGATTTGGGGTCTATTATTGTTTAAGGTTTGTCATGTGTTTCCTTTGGTCCTTCTTTGGTAATGGGAGCTCATGAAGTCACAGGTTCCCAAATATAATTCTGAAAACAAAAGGCCCTGATTGGACTGATGGGCATAAAGCTCGGTTACAGTTATTGTTTTAGTTTCTAGAAAGTTATGACGCTGTTTAATTTGTCAGAGGTTATGTAGTCCCAGTTTGTGCCTCTCATCTATTACCATTACATTTGAGTCGCAAAGCTGTTTTTCCTAAAAATAAATACACAGCAGTATTTAAAGGATCCAGAAAAAAGGTGATTTAACAACAAAACAATCCTCAAAAACGTTTCTAACAATCTGGATGAAAAAGTATTCTGTCTGCTGCACGATAAATAGGATTTTGAACCTGTTTCACAAGTGATGCCTCTTTTTCCTAATAGAAAAAAAGATAGTAGCTGGAAATTATATTCTGTATTTCCTTGCTCCATTTGTGCTACATGAACAAAAATGAAAGACTTAATTCATATATATTGATGTTTCTTTCCAATGTTTTATATTTTCATACAAAATAATGCACCAATATTTTGCTTGTGTTTTACAAAAGGAGCAACGACATGTCATTTCGGGGATACTGTCACAGCAACTTAGTGTGTGTAGCTGATGCAATAATTTGTGTCAGAAGAACTTTTGGATTCAGGAAATACTGGAAAATGCAGCGGTTAGTGTTGTTAAATGACCTTTTGGATTTTTCAAAGATGGTTGGGAATTTATTTTAAGGAAACTCAGATGCTTAGCTCTGTGGCTCGAATATTATGGTAATACATAAAAACTGCTTTTAAAGTTGATGTCGTCCAAGTATTTCATTTAACCCATATTTAACCAAGTAAGTTGAGATCAACAACTACTTTAAGGGAGACCTGGCCAAGACATCAGCATAAAAAGGGCTACAGACAACAATAACTATAAGGTAACATATAAGGTATACATTAAAGTGTCGAAATAATTAAAATACATATGCACAGTGACAAGTACTAACATATCCATTTGCCAGTGTACTTATAAGAGCTTTAAAATCAGGCAGAGAGACCTATTCAAGTCTTTTTAAAAGCTGTTCCAAGTGACAGGAGCAGAGCAGATAAAAGCTTTCTTTCCCAGTTCTGTCAGTATGCATACACAACAGACAACAAGACCTTATCTTGTGATCTCATATTACAATAACTACAGTCAGATCTCTTTGCAATCAAAGTGCAAATGTATGATGAGAGTTTACCCAGATTGGCTTTATAAATGAACAAGTACCAATGACTGAGCCTACAAAAGGTCGGAGATGGCCAACCAGCCCTAGAGTAAAAAGTTTTATCAGTTACCAAGCTGTCATCTTAATTGTGAAGTATCAAGATAACTCAACGTTACTCCTCCACTCCTAATCTCTTTGTCGTACTCCCACCTCACTGTTGAAGCTCAGCCTCTTCTCTCCCACTCCAGCCCCTCTCTCTCCCCCCACCACGACCCCTCCCTCCATGTCTCTCTCCTCCCTCCTCCCTCCTCCCTTTTAAGTCGGCGAGGGGAAGTGGGGATATTGGAAAGTGAGATGGGAGAATGTTCAAACTGGAGCTTGTTTTCATTTCATGTTTAATTTCCTGACGCCTAAGCCCTTGGCTTTCCGCAGCTAACCCCTCTGACCTTTCGGAGGCGTGCAGACGAGAGCAGCGGACTGAGCATACACACACACACACAAGATGCACACAGAAAACACTCACATTTACATGCCATGTTATACAAAATTTGAAGTCAGTCACTAACAAATACGTTCTTTTAACCTGGACGCTCTCACATGCTTACTGCAACCTTTTATGAACAAGCAAACAATGTCTGAGCACATATATGCCCGTTGTCTTGGTTTCTGGGTTAGGGTTAGTGTGTGTCATGTTTCACAGAGGGTTTGCTCTACGTTGCTTTCCCTTTGAACGGCAGTAGAAATGAGACCCAAGCCAAATAGTTTGGCAGGGAGATCATTCGGGGAACATTATGAAGTCAGATGTGTCCTTTGCTGCTCCGTGTCTCTTATTCTCCAACTTCTAGACTTCGGAGTTCATTAGAAAGGAAAAGAAAAGAATTTCAGTTAACAAAAATAATTTTTATTATTTTTTTCATAATGATCAACTATGACCCATCCTGTATAAGGCCAAAATAATGCTATTTACCAACTGCAAACACTTACTACTTTTGTTTATTTTATCTAGCGGACATCTGCAAGGAAGGTGGCTCAGAGCTCTTGGAGCTAAAAGTGCTTGGCGGCGATACAGTAATTGCTAAAGACGTTGACAGCAAAAGGCAGCTTACAGAGCCATTAAAGAGCTTTATTTATGCTCCAGAGCCAGCAGGCAGAGAGAGAGGAAGAGGGAGAGAGGGAGGGCAGAGAGCACAACTCCAAAAGCAGCTTTGAAGTCCAGCCGTCGCACCTCATCTCTGTCATCCAGGACCACTGCGATTGATAGACTGCCTCAGCAGTCACTCACACACAGCCTCCACCTCCGTAAAAAGTAGGCAGTGTGGTGAAGTTCAAGTCTGAGGTTGGGAGCTAATTGTACTAAATAAACTAGTGGTAGCACAAGTCACAGATGTGATTATGGAAAGCTGCAGCCCGACTTTATGAAGACATTCATCATCAAACTGAGGATGAAACTGTAGGACCTTGACATTGGCATTTTGGCAGAAAACATCTGTATGCTAGGATTTCAATGGCTGTTGTTTGGGAGATGAAAAGGATTCTCCGATCGCCTGCCAAGCTTCGAGTGCCCCTTGGTATTCAACAATTGGATATCCCTGGACTTTGTCTTGATGGACCTTCAGTCGAAATTGTGGGGTTTAGTCTTGATTGCGTGCATATTTAGGGTCTGATTTTAGAAGTATGGGTCAAACCTCACAGTGACTCAACAGAGTCTACTGTGTGCCTGTCAGATGAGGAAGTTAATTATATTCATCTGGGGAATAGATGGGTCTGTGTGAACGCAACATGAATGTACTTTTTTTACTGTACCACCACAAGGACCAGGCCAGGTTCCCTGTCCCTGACTATGTCTTCCACTACGTGTGGAAATTGAAACTGGCATCTCAAAGTGTTTTTTATATCCTTGCCAAATAGCTTTGATGACTTTTCTTTTTTTCCATATGTTTTCCCTCCCTGCCTCCATAGTTGGCGGTGAAGTAGTTTGAACACGGTAGTGCTGGGGAGAAACCCTTGGCCTCTGACCTTTTTGCAGAGCCTGCAGCATGTAAGAGCTAAGAGCAGAGTATTCCCTTAGTCCCACCCATCCCACTCTGATCTAAAACTGGCAGGCAGAAAGAGAGATGGGGAACAATAGGCCTTGCTGTCTGCTGTTCCAAACAATCTCTGTCAACGTGCCAGTCTTAACTCTCCCAGCCCTTTCTGTCAGTTCCCCGAGTGATTATTAGCATGCAAACATGGAAGACTGCAATCATACAACACAGCTCTTGGAGACTGTTCTCCTAGGAAGGAAGGACAGCATCAGTCATTTCAGAAAGTGCCTAAAAACGACAAAGCCCTCTAGTAGCCATAGTTACTTTGATGAACCATAGGAGGAAGTCCGGTGACGTTAGAGCGACATATCCACATAACAAGGAGGTTGGAGAGGGGTGAATGGATGGGTCAATAAAATATTGGACTTAAACACAGGCGACCACTGTTTGTTGCTGTAAAGTTATCACGATCATTCCCTATTATGACATTTCATACATCAATAAAGCAGCAAACAACTATTGGCTATGTAAAGCTATCATAGAGTAGTGGTGTCCTGAACTCCCTTTGCCTGTGTTGCTATGGCAGCCTCTCTCTGGTTTGTTTACATAGCCTGTCTACTCCATGAGTAGCTGCATAGAGCGACTGAAACTGCTGTTTTTCTCATCTAAGACGGTAAATTAAGGATTTATTTCAACCAAAGCAGACTGTGATTGTTGTGGAAAGACTCATAAATACTGTTTTGGTAAGTTTTATTTTGTTTCTGTACACTTTGATTGAAGTTACAATGTTACAGTGATATGCAATGTAAAATTACTGTGTATGGCGAGCAATAGCGATATTACAACTGTGTCTGGTTAAATGAAAGGTCTACCTCTGTAGTGATCCTTTCCATGATGTTGTCAGACACTTTGTTCACTCTGCCCCTGCACTCATTTGGCATGACCAGATTCTTCCACATACTAGCCAGGCAAATATAGCTAAAGCTACCGAGCTAGTTGCACAAGAATGGCAGAGAATGACCAACCAAAATGTATAGTTTCACCTGTACCTGCAACAGTTTGCACTGCTGAACAAAGCAAGAAAAGAAAGGCAGAAGTAGAAGAGGCTACAAACACAAAGTTTGGATAAAGCAACAGGTCACACCAGCCAACATCAGTGTTGCTTTTCAACAATGGCGAGAACTGAGGAGCAGGTAATTATCTGGTTGGTTTTCTTTAGGGGAATTTGTTATTTGCCTGAAATGTGTAGCATCTAGAACTACGTATGATTGAGACATGAGGTAGTTGGAAACAGTTAGCTTCCAACCAGTCTCTAGTGTGACATCCAGTGGCAAGTGAATTTTGAATACATAACTTTTAACCACATTTACTGTTGTAACCATGGCAGCAAAGTTGCCCTTACCTTACTAAAGTGCTCATTTAGCTTTTCCCTAAACCTAACCAAGTTGTTTTTGTGCCTAAACGTAACCAAAACTTAACTATAGCATCACATCATAAAATGATTATTTTTCAGCAGTTATTTGTAATGGTTTTGGAAGGCAGAGACGAACGATAGCATCTTGCTCATATGGGGTGTCAGATCAGAAAACATTTATTGTTCTAAAACGAAAGTTTCCTATTTTGTTGTTTAATTTGGAGGACTTGTTGGTTTATGTCAATGCAGGAAGGAGTTTTTCACATGTAACCTGGTGGGTATTCCTCCATTCTCACCTGTACACGAGCCTCCGTCAGGTCTGTCCTCAGTGCCAGCTGCTCGCGGGCATAAACATCTGGGTAGTGTGTCTTCTGGAAAACCTTCTCCAGCTCCTCCAGCTGGTAGCTGGTGAATGTGGTGCGATTACGTCTCTTCTTGCCTTTGTTGCTCTCAGCTTCACTTTTGTCCAGAGGGCTGGAAAGGTCAGAGCCTGGCCGCTCGCTCGGCCCCTTCTCGCCAGGTACCTTAAGGTTCAGGTAGCTGCCTTCCATCCCGGCAGGGTCGACGCTCGGGGGCAACTCAGAATCTGTCAAGCCGCTGTTGTCTTTTCCTGTAAGTAGATTAAGAAAGAGAAAGAAAGAAATTGGACAGTTACCATCAATCATATTTAGCACTATTTACACATGAAAACAAACATGCATGTTTTGTAGATGATGTTCAGTAACAGTTAATATAATAACAGTTCACAAAATGTATATGATATAATTTCTTCTGGTTCTGGAGGGATCAACAAATGGCTCAGCTTAGACTTCAGACTTCATTTATACCAGAAAGCATGCAAACTATGGGGTTTGAAAGAATTGAGTCCAATGAAAGAGGCATCATTGTGTATTATGGGAAATGCAATCCAGGGTTTTTGGAGCTTGATCTTCACTAGGAAATAAAGATCAGGACATCTCAACCTCTGCTGCATCCATTTTGACCATTGGTTTTTAAATATATCTCATATGCGCCCTCCAACAACTCTAAATCACTGGAGTGCCCCTTTAATTCTCTGATGTGGATTGACAGTACTGTTCAAAAACCTCATAAAACCTACTGGAGATTTTTAAGTTTAAGATGTTACACTGTGGTTCTAATAAAATACATTTGAGCAATTTTGGTTTCGGTTAGTGTGCTTTTCTTACGATTCTCATATGAATCATGAAAAATCAAAGAAAGCTTCACAATTTACTGAAGTGTGGCTTTACATATAATACAAATCATATTAAACAAGCTATTAAAACTAACTTTCTGACCATTTTAGAGGTGAAACAAGAGGGCCACATTTTGTGTATAACACTCCTATAATTATTGTTACTACTCTATAATTGGAATATTCAGTAGAGCAGTACTTTCTTTAAAATGTGGCTGAATAAAACCATGGTGCCTCACATTCAAGTCAGTGAGCGTGTCTGCTCATCATCACGTTACAACATCCACACGAAATGACATTTAATTTAAGCTTACATCACCTCTGTAATGTTTTATTTTAAGGTTAAAAGGCCTTGTCTGTATGCAGAGTCTAAAAGTTGTAGAGAAGAAACGTCTTTCTGTTTGAAAGGTATGTCACTACACATTGGCGTGACCTGTGACACAACCCTTGAAGCCCTCTCCCTCACATCTCTCCATCATGCCACCCGAAACCTGAACCACGCATAAACCTGCTCCATATCGAGCGGTGTATGGCTGGCCTTGTGTACGGGGGCGACCGCACTTACCCCCGCAGCCTCGTCCCTCAGATGTAAACAACATTGTGTTTGTCACCTTCAATTTCGAGAGCGTCCATTTTGTGACAGACCTCGCTCTGTTCCTGTCAGCGCTTGCGAGCTTTTTTGTTTCCTTTTAGGAGATGAAGAAAGCTGTCCCTTCTCCTTCAATAAACAAACAGCTGTGTGAATAAATAAGCTGAAGGGCTCTGGTTGCGGGCCAGTGAGAACAGTGTGCTCTGTCAGCCTCTCTGTTTGCCTTTCCTGCAAATGGGCACCGGGAGTGCCCTGCCCTAGCTGTATTGGTCTGAAACTAGCTCATAATGGTCATAACAGTCTTGTGCAACACCAGCATTACTTCAGCCCAACAACAAGTTAGATCAAGTTTAGGATGATTAACTTAATAGTTATGTTCTTATGTGCGTGCATTTTACTCTGTCACGTTGCATTTTTGTTATGAGTAATGTCAGTAATGGCCTCCTGTCATTCTCAGACAACCAGAGCAATGAGGGAAAGAGAGCTGACACCTTGTGGCACTGGTGATTCTCTGTGCGTGTTTTAGTGGTTAGTAAGATGACTAGTTTGAGAGTGATGAAGCTAGGCGGTGGCTGTCTGTTTGTTTTCATGGATTAGTATGTATTTGGCTAGTGTGTCACACAATGAAATGCCAATAGTCATCCTCTAGATATTGCAGCAGCCATCCCTTACTCTCTGGCTCAGATTTGCCCCGACAGAGATGCTAATGGAACAACACAGCTCGCCCAGCTGGAGTTCATGACCTCATATTGCTGTGGCCCACCTGTCAGACCTTCTTACAGTCTCCATGCAGGCAGATGTTCTGACATCACCAACCCCTGCGCTGGCCTCTAATGCTAAAGCACCGTGCAATATTTTCATTCTACCCCTGGGCAGGAGCATGGCTGCAATGTTGAGAAGTAAGACAGGTCAACTCCAGGTTCTTGCTTTGCATTTGCATCTGTAAGAGAAAATGCAATCATGCCCCTGAGCAAGGCATACATCCTGTAAGGCAGAGTCTACAGCTGGACGCACAGATGAGGGGATGGGCAGATGGTGGGATAGTGGGTGAAAATGTTTGAAGCTCCCAGTCTTATACAGACCTACTGTATATCACACTGTACACTGAAATCTGCACTAATTACCAAGAGTCACGTGAGAAAATAAAAATGCCACCTCATGTCTGTAGGGTAAAACTAAAGCTTAAAAACTAACAAAAAGGGGGGAATTGCTGGCCTGTTTTGTTCAAATGTAACAAAATCTACCCATCAGCACAAGTTCAGTAATTAACACATTATGTTTCATCCGTTTAATCTTTACAAAAGTGTGTAAAAATGACAGTTGTCAATTTTATGGATATATGACTATTTCTTAACTGGGACCAATTGCCAGGCAACCTGCAGAGACTCCAAGTAGTTACAGAAAAAACAAACAAGACACAATATGTTACCTAGTGAACTTTAGGGGTGCTGGTAGATGGATTTTGTTACCTCTAGATGGAGGCTAGGCTAGCCGTTTCCCTCTGTTTCCAGTTTTTGTGCTACATTAGGCTAACAGGCAAGTGGCAAACTATTTCTTTAAGCTTCTCAGCCCTATACAGACTCATATCACCACAATTTACATTAGAATCTGCACTAATCAACATCTTTTTCTGTGTAGCTCTCCAAACTCATCTCTTTTCTCTGTCACGCTAACCACACAGAATCCTTTGCCACAAACATCTTCCAGTATTGCCACATGCTGAGCTGTCTTTTCTGCACGCTGTTCTGGAGAACACAGCCATCACACACTGCTTTCTTTTGGGAGCCAAGATTCCACTGCACTGGCTCCAATTTTTTTGACATTTAAAGGAATGTGTTTCTGACTGTTGTTCTCATTTCAGCGTTCATCAACGTATATATATATATAAATGCATCGAATGTCGCGGGCTGATCCTGCAATTTGCCAGAGTTACTCTGTGACAAGCTGCAGACCTCTTCAGTTAGCTGAGGTCAGATGTTTACTAGGGTCAGCAATTTAATCACTGCTGAAAACAGAGAGAAAACATCAAAGTGTAATTTAACTGGTTGTAAAGCAACAGGGCACCCTCTCAGTTTTTATGGAATGGGACGGGGAGGGTCAAGTGAAGCCAAATAAAAGAAACACTATAAATTAGTAACCTGGGGAAGGGTTAATGACCAAACACTAAATAGGGAAGGGAATGCTTTTAAACAAAGTGCTCTAAAATGTTCTCTCAAAACACTCAAAGCTGACAGCAGTCTTCTACAATTACTCTCCACTTATCACACCTTACATGAACCAGTCAAATATTCCATTGGCTTTGGTGACTATTAATTTTACATTCATTGCTGGTTCGCAGACATGCTTTGGGCTAGATCATTTTTCCCGCAGCACCGTCTAAGACCTGATGTTGACTGTTGTTTCCTCAGTGGAAGGGAGGCTCCCAGATGTTCCTGAGGAGAGATCTATGCCAGCGGCTCACGCAGGAATGCAGATTCCCTGGGAAACCAAAAAATCTCTCTGTTCAGCCTCAGCTCCTGATAAATTGACACGATCATGACCTCACTACTGTCATAATACCTTGGGCCGTGGCTGTCACTGTCTCATATCAAAGAGCAAAAAAATATTTTGGGGATTTTATGGTTTTTGGGAGGAAATTTAGTTAATAGTAAAAGTACACAAGTGTGTCCTTTAGTGTCCTAAAATGAAAAAACATATATATATTTTGGTAAAACCTTTCATTTTCCAAGGAGAGTTTTTTTTAAGAATTTCCAGTGAAATGCATGTGGCAAAATTAAAAGTACTGTTTCAACCTAATGTCATATATCAATACAGAGTGTTTTATGTCATTAGTATTACAAGTAACTTTAGGTTTGGTGATCGATGTGAACTAAGAGGAGCCTTAAATGACAAGGAATTACAATGATACACAAGTGACTGAAATTAAATGTGAAATGATGTAATTAATCAGGTTCTTCTCATCCTCCAGTGGTCCTGAATTTGTTCCATCATCACATCTCTACTGCCTAGATCATATTGGAATCACATTTTTACCAAGTATTTTTCCCTTTTTGCAATCATAGAGAAGCATAAAGAAAGCTCATGATGCAGGCGGTGTCACTTGATTATAATTTTATTTGGGTTACTTTCCAACCCTGGCTTTTATTAAAAAATATATATCAAACACGCAAAATGAGCTGAGTCTCTCTTCCCGAAAGCAAGCTGAGAGAGAGAAAAATAACTACTGTTAGTCATGGACCTAAAAATGATCATCATACTTTGCCCAGCGGTTTCCATCATGAGTTTGTCATAGTTGGCTTTCATGAGTTTACATTTTGTGGCTTGTCAGGGAATAAGCTTTAATCCTTTTTTTTGACTATACCATAGGGTTGCATGCCCAAATGTTTGCATTATTCAAGAAGCAGATAGTCCATTGATAAGAATCAAGGAAGTCGAGGCAAAGACACAGCACCAGCGTCAACACAAAAGGCACAGATCAGAATGTGCGCCAGCTGGTTAAAGTTTCCACATAATTTCTTTAATCTGGCCTGCATGCAGATCTCAGGTAGGCAGCGGGGAGTTACCTTCCCCCTGCAAGAGAGGCCAAAGTATGCTGTGTTAACTGCACAACAACAGGAGACAGTGCAGGAACAGATATGAAAAGAAACAGCAAACCCATCATGAAACACAGCACTGTCCTCAGAGTTAAATGTCAAATGTTTTCAGTCACTGGCAGGGCAGATCGCCGCTGCTTTACCGCCTGAGTCACATGTACGAGCCGTTGCATTTTAACAAGGAATTCATCCATGCTTTCTCATTATATATTCTAATTTATTCTGGCTCACAGAGGCACGGCGGCATGATCACAGGTGTCATTCTTGCATTTGCTTATTGTTAGCATCGCCACAATGTGTTAGTCATCAGCGCATGCATATCCTGTGACATCACTTCCCTGAGCCTTTTAACATGTACTTAGAGTGCTATATTTTGACAGGATGCTTTTAAAACGCTGCCAGGACTTTTTTGAGGTCTTGTTTTGGTTTTCATGCACCCTAGAAAAATGTTTTACTTATCACAGGATGCTTTGATATCCCGCTGAGGGTAGGAGGAGGAGGGGGTGTTTGAAAGTACGAAGATTGACAAAGCTGTATGTTATAAATGTGTAAAATGCTTTAAACCGTTATTTTGTGAAAAGACAAAGACGGCGAGGCACAAACAGTCTTTAGTGAGTACCAGTGTTCACACAACACACTACAATGCAATGCAGAACTCAACCTCAGTATCAACCACAGGCCTATAAACACAATGATTTCTACTTTTCAGATTTAGCTTTGGCTCCACTTACATCCTCACAAATTTATAAAGAAAGTGTGATGATATTTTCATCATAGGTTTGTGTTTACGAAACTTTATGGGCTCTCTGTGGCAATGAATCTGTGTCATGGATAAAAACTGAAAACTGATTGAAATTATGAAGTTAAAAAATGCATCTATGCAGTACAGTTCAGTAAAGTATGTGCATGTAAACAGTCATTTGCACACGTGTGCGGCTTTCCCAGAAACCCTGTCATTTCTCCCGAGTCCCTCAAATCATTACCCAATCTCCATGTCCATTTCTGACTCATTGCTTATTTGCACAACGTATTGTTGAGACGGGGTTATGTAAACCAGTCCCACTTTGTCATCTCAGGGACTCTCCGTAGCTTTGGAGATCTGATGTTTGGGGAGTATGAATAATAACTATAGGAGCCAGTAATGCACATCTGCCTTAGATTAATGTGGACCTCTCCTGCAGTGCTGACCTGCATTCCTCAGCACTCAATCAGCTCCAGGGGTTTTATTTCATTCATCGCTGTGTGAGCAGGTAGACGGCTCCATCCCTGTCCTCTACTGTGGGGCAGTCTCACTGATTAATGTGCACTCAAGGAAACAAACCCGCCAACCTGAGCCACTGTGCAGAAATATGTTCACTCACTCCTCCAGGGCCAATATTGTATTTTTAATTAACATCATTTACAGTTCTGTTTAGGAAATAAGTACAATTTCCATCCACACAAAACAACCATAAATCTTATAAATATTAATATTGTTTTTCTACAGCTGAATCGTACTTAGTGTCATTGAAATGATGTAATTTTAAAGAAATAATTTGCCGCAATGTTTGGAAGTGTCCTGAGTGAAAAGTGTGAAAATGAGGTGTGAGAATCATGCAGCCAAAAACATTTCCCATTATATTTGAACAGAATTAACGCAGTAAATCTACATCTTTACCTTTGCTTCTCTCATCTTCTGTGCCATTAAATAGGAATATTGACATAGTAGCAATTTATTATATATCTGCACAGTGTTTTTTGTGTATTTTGATGAACCAAAACACTGTTTACTGCGTGTAACATCCTCAAAATGACACATACATTAAATATTGGGTTGCCATAAACAGTATTACAGTTGTAGCTGAGGTTGCCACACAGAAAACTCCCTTTGGGTGTGAGAGGACTTTTGTCATCGTGATGGAGATAAAGCATCAGCATTGAGCAATACATCACCCATTGAGGACCACACATAAGAGCACAAGCCTGTTGACGCCTGAGGCTTTGGCAAGACCCCAAAGTATCTTCCCCAGAGCCAGGATGCCTTCATCTGGCTGCAACATTTTCAGTAATAACATTGCAGAGCTCTCCTCAAGGGAGGCATGTTGCATTTAATGATGGTGTTTAAATGGTTCTGTCAATGCACTTGCCAAATCAATTCACTGCAGTACAGGGGTGCTTGAATTTGGAGGCATTGCTCTCAAACTCCAGAAGACAGTAAAGCTTAAAATAAAGAGTGACTCCAGTTGTTCTGTTTTCTCAGGAAAACAGATTACTTTGCACTTTATGGATGTATTTTGGCAAAGTGTGGTACTGGCTACTGCGCACAAAAATGTGTTATAGTGCAGGCCTAGTTGTAATTGGTCCCACTGAGCAGAATTAGGGCAGTACAATTTTATTTGTTTCACCTAATACTTAAATTTGCTTAGATCGAGCATTTAGTGTATTTAAATGTGACTGTCAGTGTTTAGCCTCCATTTTCTGAACTGCTTTTTCTCCCTGACTGAATCTATTTTCCAGCGCGACTCTCCCATTCAAAGATTGAAGGTGAAGTTACTGCATGAGTTTCGATCCACATCAAATATCAGTCATGATCATAACAGATGTTTGCTTATGTAACAACATCCGCATCATGATAAACATCTGGACCTGAAATATATAGGCGCCGACGAGTCTTTACGCTGATAATTCACCAAAATATGATTGTTATTGTAGTTTTTAAAGTAGTATATAACGTGCAGTACAATTATAATATGCATATATTATGTAAAGTTAATTATTTTACTAATAATGGATTCTTTTTTGACTTCCGGGCCTTTCTTGTGGACCTGTCCCACAGAGAAGGCTAGTCTGCTCAATAAGAAGGTTTTATCTGTTTATTTTAAACCGCCACGTTTCATAAAGGGGACAGTAAAGTGGATTGTTTTCTTTAAATAGAACATTTGAAGTGCAACGAATTGTCGGAAGACTGTGTAAAGCTGTAAAGCTTTTCGTTTTAAATGAGTGCTATTTTTCAAGACATCCAAGCAGTCTCTAAAATATTTGAACTTGTCAGTGACTGTTTTTTTAATTGTGAAGTCTTGCCCTATAACTGGAGCTACTCCATTGAATAAATGTATATCTGTGGAATAGTTGTTTATAATTGAAGATAAAAACAAATAAATTACAGTAAACATAATGGACTACGTGTTAGAAATGGTATTTAAAATAGTCCTGTTGATATTGTACTGTATTCATTTTTACCACACAACGCTTGGATATTCCCTTTGTGTGCGCGGGTGCTCCTGGTGACTTGTCGTTCATATAAAAATGGTTAAATATTAAAATAATTCATGACATGTCTGTATGTGAAATAGATTGAGTGACATTGATGCTGCGGCTTCACCAGGAATCAAACAGGCCGGATATTAAATAGGCTGAATAAAAAATAATTTAGTGAAGAAGGAATGAAAAACCTATGACTTTGTGTCCGTTAAAATCATATTGTCAATACACACAAAAGGTTAAACATCCATTTAAAAAAAGGTTTTAAATAACTTCTTCACCTCTCAGTCTAAGCACACACCCCTTATAAAGGGCATATTTACAGATTTACAGCTCACCTTGCAAGCTTAAAGGTAACCTTACTTTCTCTGACATATTATTTAAAATAGACCTACATTCAGGCTTTTTTAATTGTCACATTCAGTAATCCTTATTATCGCTTATTCCATGTATTTTTTTTTNNNTGGGGGGGGGGGGGGTTGGGGGTTTTAAGGTCTAACTCTCACTACCACAGACTACAGAAAAAGTTACATTTCCATAAAATGGCAAAATATTATTATTTTCCTTGCTCCCAGTTGCCCACATGAATTTGATAGGAAACTGCACTGCCAAATTACACATTCATTTAAATATAAATTCAATTAATATACTTCTGTTCAGTTAAAAAATGAATGGCAGATGGGGGTCCTCTTCTCCTCTCCTCTCCGCTCCCAGATCACTGACTTTCAGATGCTGTATTACACACACTAACAGTACAATTACATTACTGCTCGCAAATTCCCCCCTCTTGTAACGCGTTTCCGTTCACCTTATGGCCGATACGTTGCCTCATACAGTCCCCCCACTGTGTTGCCTCTCTCATGTGCACTCACCATAGCAGGGAATGAGCGTCCCACCGTTGAGCCCGTTGTCCGGGTGCAGTTTGCTGCCTTCGGGTGGAGTTTTGCAGGTCGGCCGCTGCATGAAGAGCTGGTATTTGTTGAAGGTGCCCTCCTCTGTGCCATCCAATGACTGGCACTCCGGCTGGAAGGGACTCCGGGACTTCTCTCCGTAAGGCTGCCCTTTACCCGGAATGAACGTGGGGCTGTATTTGGTTTCAGTGGTCTGGAAAGTCCTGAACGGGTTCGCCTGGTGATCCCTACCTGGCGCAGTAGACGTGCTATAATATGAATCCATCGATGTCATATCGCAGTATGAGACGCACGCTGCGTTCATACCTAAAAAGTTATATTAAAAAAAAAATCCACACGGTTCTTCTTTCCCTCCCCTTCTCTAGATAGCAGATAGACCCAAATTCTCATGCACTGACAAACTCACACTGACGCGCTCACGCACACACACTCTCACACTGCCGCATCTGGGACTGGTTAAAAAATGAATCAGATGTTTTCCAGAGACTGCAGACTGAACAAATGCTAAAAGCCCCCTGAAGGTTTGTCGGGGTAAAGAGAAATGCCTTGCTCAAGCTGATGCCGACTCAGTAGGCTACAGTGTATCTGACACACACACACACACACTTACGCATACACACACACAACACACACCACACACACAAGGGATCACTCCAACCGTTCAGGGTTCCCACACATCAGAAGTATGGCACACCGGCTGCATGCCTGCGCTATTATGCAGCAGTGAAATGGGAGGTCAGCTCAGAAAGGGGGGGGGGGCTTTTTGGTACACACGCGGGAGACACACACATGACATTAATTGTAATTAGAGAATGAATATGACGGCTTGATTTCCGCAGTGCACGGGTGCCTGGGGATAAACTCTGACTTTTCTTTTGATTAACTTTAAAGCAGTTTTTCAAAAAGCGGTGTTCCATCTCTGTGAAGGGAGCCGCTTTGTATTAAAGGGTGTTTGTTGAAAATCTAATTTGTGTTTCCTAGAGAAAAGTGACCTTAAAAACATGTAAATGAAAGGATCGAGCAGAATTTAAGATTTTGGACATAAGGAGGCACTTAAAGTCAACCGATGTTAAAACTCAAATTTCCCCTTATATATATCAGCTATATATTGCTGTATAAATATTAGTTGTGTATTTGTTTTTAGAGACTTCATTAACCACAACAAACACTGGCAGTTTGACCAGGAGGACCTTATGTGGAGTCAGTTGTATGCGGATATGTCCAGTTTAACGATGAAGAATTAGAGCTCATCACGACCAGGCTTTCGCGTGTGTTGAAAAATTGGCTATTCTTAATATTAAATTCAATTATAAACATTAAGTCCATAATGCTCGTTGAATACTGGCTGCGTGCGCCGTGGAGACGAGCGCCGGCAATTTGTCTTTCCTTGCGCTATAAAAAATGTGAATTACATCGGTTTAAAGCGTGTTTTAAGGAAACAACCACAAGGCCTTTATGTCTGTCGGTAGTCAATTGGTAAGTTGTCTCATTCACGTCTAATTTTTTT